AGCTGTTATGAACTGCACCGCAGTAGCGGGAGCTTATCTCCTCCCGCTCTCCTCTTCTCCTCTTCGCTCGCTTCCTTCACCAAACTGCAAATCTAGGTTTTCGAGGTGCGGCCGCCCAAACTCCACACCGAGCACTGGTATCTCAGATTCTTTATCTCGCCGGCGATCGCCCTCGCTTCCCCGAGCTCGAGGCAGCGGTGCCGACGTGAAGTCCGAACCATTCGATGTTCCAGATTCGATCAAGTTCCAGGGGGCTCTCAGTGACGCTGTTTCCCCTCTGCTGAAGGAGGAGGAGGAGGAGGAGGAGGAGGAGGGATCGTTTCCAAAGAGATGGTTGATCGTCATCCTCTGCTTCTCTGCCTTCTTGCTCTGTAACATGGACCGAGTAAATCCCCCCTCACCCTTTCTTTTAAGAAGTGCGTTTTTGAGTTGGGGAGGGAGGGGGCGCGCGTATCGACCGGCTAATTTGTTGAAAATTTGATCCCTGATTTGGCAGGTAAATATGAGTATCGCAATTCTGCCGATGTCAGCAGAGTTCAATTGGAACCCCGCAACCGTTGGCTTGATCCAGTCCTCTTTCTTCTGGGGCTACCTTCTCACTCAGGTCACCGCACGAACGAAGCTCGGTTTCAATTTCCATCCCCCCCTTCTTCTGTTCGTCGTTGCGCTGTCGCGATTTTAATTATTAACCTCCCTCCCACTGCTCATCTACCTGACCACACTACGGTGTTTAAGATACCACTTTGGTTCTCAAAATATATATTTTTTTTTCATTTTAAAAACCAACTTCTATGGCAGGTGAATTTTGAGGGGACTTGACCGTTTTACTTAAATAAGCCTGTGTGTGCCTAGTCTATTAATACACTCTCTACTAATTAAATGCATCAAATCCAAGATTTTTTTACGCTAACCTTTAATGAACTTAAAATGCTAAAAGCTAATATGAGACCTTAGCCTTGATGCGACCTCATTTGGTTTAATTATTGATCATCATGTAGATCCAGATAACGCAATAAAAAAAATATATATATCAAAAGACTCGGAGGACAGGGGATAATTGCAAATGTATGCAAGCAATGATCGAGTAACAAGAATGTCAATCTAGTGATAATTTCATCTAACGTTCTTTTTGAAGATTCGGGATACTTGCTTCTTTGATACATATTGAAGACCTCCATATGCGCACTATCGTTTTAGCATGAGATCTACAGATCATTTTGGAATCATACGCTGTGCTGTGCTAATTTAAACATCATGTTCTTTGATATAATCACTTGTAGATTGCTGGAGGAATATGGGCAGACACCGTTGGAGGAAAGCGTGTTCTAGGATTTGGTGTTGTTTGGTGGTCCATCGCCACAGCTCTCACACCTGTTGCGGCAAAGGTCGGGTTGCCTTTCTTGCTCCTTGTGCGTGCTTTCATGGGAATTGGAGAGGTTAGTGATGGATGTATTTCTTCCCTATTTCTTCTTACTCCAACGTCCATATGACTGATTTAGCGCACTCCCACCTGCCCCCCAGAAAACACATAAACACAGCATTCATGCCTCCAAAATCAATTTTACGTAGCTAATTTTAATAATGGCATTTGTTCCATTCTGAATTGATATTATTTTTTTTGTCGTATTATATATGTGTCTCATCAAAAATTTGCATTGATTCACAGGGTGTTGCAATGCCCGCTATGAATAATATTCTTTCAAAATGGATCCCAGTATCAGAGAGAAGTAGATCATTGGCCCTGGTCTATAGTGGAATGTACCTTGGTTCAGTAACTGGGCTAGCCTTTTCTCCTTTGTTAATACATAAGCTTGGCTGGCCTTCTGTCTTCTATTCCTTTGGCTCCCTTGGAACTGTCTGGTTTGCTATATGGTTAAATAAGGTTTGTACTTCGGCAACGATCCATCAGTTGTTGGTGATTTTCTCTTTACATATTAACTGTTTCACTCTGAAACTATACACTGTGCCCTTTTCATCTGACCTCAATTTAATGGTGTTTAGTGTTAAGAAAGATAACTACCTGTTGTATTTTTATGCGACGTGCATTAAATAATCCTTTTAAAGACTCTTCTGAAACAGCATAATATTTGTACCAACAGGCTTACAGTACTCCTCTGGAAGATCCAGAACTTAGTATTCGAGAAAAGAAGCTTATCGCAAGCAGTAGTACATCTAAAGAACCTGTTACTGAAATTCCATGGAGATTAATCTTATCTAAACCCCCTGTCTGGGCTCTTATAGTTTCCCATTTTTGCCACAACTGGGGAACTTTTATTCTTCTCACATGGATGCCAACTTACTATAATCAGGTGAGTTTCAGGTTTCACATGACATATCGCATTCGCTATCATTGCTTGCATAAACTGATTTTTCCCCCCATCATTCTTTGTAGTAGAAATAGTAGTTCTTCAATGACGTGTGTTTATATTTTCTCTATGCTATATACCCTCCTGCCCTGCTTTTCTTCAGCATAAATTTGTTTTTTGAAAACTTGAAAGATGCAATTATCACTTTCTAAAGAAGTATGTCTGTTTACGAAAGATTATACAGTGATTTATTGAAGACGGATTTTTCAGTATATGACTCCAAGGATGCCCACTAGCATTTCTAACCCTTATTCATAACCTGTTTCAACTAGGTTTTGAAGTTCAACCTCACAGAATCTGGTTTATTCTGTGTTCTTCCTTGGCTTACAATGGCGATCTCTGCAAATGTTGGTGGTTGGATAGCTGACACACTAGTGAGTCGAGGATATTCTGTAACAGCAGTTCGAAAGGTTAGACTCATATTTTTTAAACATAGCATCAAGTAGAAGGTGGCAAGTTATTCGAGTGTTGCACGTTGCATTTTAGTTTTATATTGGATTATCTCATTATCTGTAATTCTATGGAAAGTGCGACTTGTAATATTTTTTTGGTAGCCCTCTTATTAGTCATTTCCATGACATTAGTGTATCTTTTAATGTGCATGCCTATATCTTTTCTTGCTCAGGCTATCTTTTAGTATCTTACTGTATTTCTTTTCTTCGTTATATGTTGTTTCTGCAGATCATGCAATCTATCGGATTTCTCGGGCCAGCTTTCTTTCTTACTCAGTTAAGTCATATCCAGTCTCCTGCTATGGCGGTATTGTGCATGGCATGCAGCCAGGTTAGCTTTAGCCCTCATACTTTATCCACTTTTTTAACTTTTGGTGTTGTTTTTCTTCTTACTTTGTATCATATTCTTTTGTCATTACTACTATTGAAGCATGAGTGCCTTCCCTTCTGTCTCAAAAAATTGAGTACTGTTAAAGCCTTAAGAGGGTTCAATGTATAAACCATAACTTGGAAATGTGAAAGAGTTAGTATAGCAGCATACATTTGAGTCTCAAAAGATGCTAGATTGCAGAAGCATCCACTTACTCTCTGAACAGTTCACTCACAGAAGTGCATCACAAATGTTGAATCGGTTTGTTCCAGTAAGGTCAGAATATATAACTAAGACATATTCTACATTAATTTTGATTGTTAGACTTGGAACTATGTCTATTCTCTTGTCATTGTTTGTGTAACTTCCATATGGAATGCTTTCACAGACTCAGGGAGCTCTTTGGCACTTGCTCCTATCTGATTTTCTCTGAAAACCATGAGATCTTCTGACACTTGAACTTGTACGCAGGGAACTGATGCATTCTCTCAGTCTGGACTATACTCCAACCATCAAGATATCGGACCTCGTTATGCTGTGAGTATGAGTTATTCTCATCATATACCACTAACTTCTACAATTGGTTTAACTATTCACTATCTTTTCTAGTTTTTTACTGGAGTAACTAGCTGACAAATGAATTATCGTCACTAAAAGGAACTTTTTTAAGGAGCTACAACGTTCTGATTCTGTAATCTTTGCAGGGTGTGCTGCTTGGCCTTTCAAACACTGCCGGGGTTTTAGCTGGTGTCTTTGGGACAGCAGCAACAGGCTACATCTTGCAACACGGTCAGATCCTCACTCTTTCTGATCCATGAGTAGGTTTTTCTTTTCTAAACTTTTGACATACTGACGTGTAAAGATCTTCAGGTTCTTGGGATGATGTCTTCAAAGTTTCTGTAGGCCTCTATCTCGTTGGAACTGTAGTCTGGAACTTGTTCTCGACAGGGGAGAAAATTATTGATTGATTTAGATGAGTTAAGGAGGCCATTTAAAGCGTGCAGAGGCTTTTCATGCTCGAAGCAACCCATCTTTGGAGCTGGACTGTGGGGTGGTTGGTTTTTTTATATGCCTGTTATCAGAACAAATGATGTGATTGGATCCTCATTTCTACAAAAGGAGTGAGTTCTCTAACACCTGACTAATTTCAAAGAGCTTCCACTGGCTGAAGGGATAGCGGTAAAAGAGAATGCAAACCTCGCAGCATCGATCAATCTTGATTCTTGACGCTTCGCAGCTACAGATAACCAGACCATAATTTTTGATGTATATTCCTGTTGTATATTACTTTGACTAATTGAAAGCCATGATCAAACAAAACG